CACCCACCAGCCTCTCTAGGGATGAGGGGTTTTGTGCTGAAACAGCTTCTTCTGGGGATGCTGCGGGAGTACCTTCAGTGGCCCCTCCAAGCTTCCAGGAGCACGTGCAGACTTGGCCACGGGGGCTACCCACGCCGGCGTCGGCCCCCCGGGATGGCAGCGATCGCGTCAGAGGTGACAGGCGACAGGCGCTCAGCGGGGGGGGGCCCCCTCGGGGGGCACCGTGGGGCCATGGCGGGGTGGGGGTGGGCACCGCGGCCCCAGTCTCACCGTGAGCCCGGGGGCCCCCTCGGGGGGCACCGTGGGGCCATGGCGGGGTGGGGGTGGGCACCGCGGCCCCATGGTCTCACCGTTTGCCCATGTGCTCGTAGATCACGGTGGGGATGATGGTCAGTGTGATCACGTTCCCGGCCCCTGCCAGCACCTCCGTGAGCTGCTTATCCTGCGGGAGAGAACATGTGGGTCCCATGGGGTGCCCAGCTCTGCCCACCATCCCACGGCGGCCCCTTCCGGCTCTGGCCCCCGCTCCCCACCCCCCCAGCCGGATCCTGGGCACCCCTGGGTGCGTTTTGCACCACCGATTGTGCACAGCCCCTACCTTCATGCCGATGACGTTCTGGCCGTTCACCTCGCAGATGTAGTGGTGGGTGAGGAGGCCGTTGCGGGCAGCAGAGCTGTCCTTGGCCAGCGACACAATTTTCCCCTTCTTGACCACGATGCCAACGTGGCCGCTGCTGTCCTTGTGCACAGTGACGGTGCGCTGGAAAGGCCTGCGGGGAGAGCGCGGTCAGCGCCGGCACCGCCGCCGGCATCACCTGCCCACCTGCCTGCTTACCTGTCCCGCACCACCATGATGATTTTCTCTGGGGACGCCTTCTTCAGCACCCGCTGCGCCTTGTCGCTGCTCCAGCCCGTGCAGTTCTTGCCGTCGATCTGCAGGATCTGGTCACCGAAGCGCAGCCCCACCAGTGCTGCTGGCGAGTTGGCCTTCACCAGCTGCACGAAGATGCCCTGGGGACATCAGGGGAGAGATGGCACGGGGACTGAGCAGCCGTACCATGCCACGCTGTGCCACGCTGCACCATGCCGTGCTGTACCGCGCCATGCCATAGCATGCTGCATCCTGCTGTGCTGCACCGTGGCATGCTTTGCCCATTTAATGCCACACGTTGCTGTGCCATGATGCACCGTGCCATGTCATGCTGCGCTGTACTGTCATGCTTATGCCATGCCATGCTGCACCATGCCATGCCATGCTGCACCACGCCGTGCTGTGCCATGCCACACCGTGCCATGCCGTGCACAGCCCCATGCCAGCCCAGCCCCCTCACCTGGTCGACGTTTTTCAGCTGCAGCCCTGTCTTGCCCCGCTCGTCCTTGCAGAGGTGGATCTCCCGCACGCCCGGCTTGATCTCTGCCCGGCGCAGTCCCGTGTTGTTCCAGCTCAGAGGGGCGACCAGCTGGCCCGGGGGGGGCCCAGTGGGGGTCAGTGCCTGTGATGGAGCTGGGGGTCAGCGGGGCCAGCAGGGGCACGGGGCCCTGTGCATATCAGCCCTCGGAGGGATGCTGCATCCCTTCCCTGGGCAGGATGCGGCCCCAGAGGGACCCCCCCCTCAGCAGTGATGCTGTGGCACGGGGGGGAGCCCTGCGCAGGGCAGGCAAGAACCACCAGCCCAGACACTTACAGTGCTGCCTTCCGGGAGCAGGTTCTTCTGGATCTCTTCGCTGGAGAGAGCGAGCCCCATGTAGTTCTCCAGCTCGGCCAGGTTGGGGTACAGCACGGGCGGCGCTGCGGGACACACCGAGGGTGGCCTCAGCTCGTGGGGTCTCCACCCCACAGCCATTGCCTTCACCCCCGGGAGCCCCCTGGGACCATGGGCCAGCAACCGGCACAAAGGACATGGCAGGGGATGGGCCAGGGGAAAGAAACCCCCAAATCCCATCCCCTACCCATGCACTGAGCAACTAAGACCACCCCCACGGTGAGCATCGTTCCCCTGTCCCCAGACAGCCCCTCGACAGGGAGAGCTGATTGCAACCCATGTTACCAGTGCCCGAGATGAGCTTCGGCTTCTCCGTGACCACCGTCGTGGCAGGGGTCCTCACCCCGGCAGCTGCCTGCGCCTGCCAAGAGACAGGGTTTGCTCGAGGCTGTGCCCCCCAGCTCTGGGGACCCTCCAAGGGCAGGACCCCACAAGGACCCATTGGGGTCTGCTCACCCCCCCCATAACGCCGCTGCGCTGACACTGACTTGCAAGATCTGGTGGCCCTTCATGTCCTCCAGGGAGGGGTAGAGCGTCGCCATCGCTGCTGCTGTGGCCGTGCCTGGGGACGGGGATGGGCCAATTCAGGGCCGGGGTGCTTCTCCCCGAGCATCCCTCCCAGCCCGCATGCCTGGCTCCGTGTGCCGGAGACGGGATGTCACCCGTGGCCTCCGGTGTGACTCAGGGCCATGTCACCGGAGCCACCGCCTCCGCCACTTCCCGGCAGCTGGTACACGGGCGGCCGTGTGCTGGGCACGGGCACCCCGGGCATCACTTGGCTGGCGGCAGGTCCCAGTCCTGGCGCCCGCCCGCCCGCCGGGGCCATTCCAGCATCGCCCAGACATGGGAGTGGGATGTCCCACGGGAACAGCCCCCCCGACTGCTCCTCGCTTGCCTTTAAATGCCCACCAGTCCCCTCCATCCCCCAATGCACCCCGCGTTGTGCCCATGGCGAAGCCGTGCCGTCCAGCCCAGCTCCCTGGCGCCGTGTGCCCTGAAACGCATCGCCCAAACCCCAGAGTGCAGCGGCCAAATCCAGACCCAGCTCCGAGCCCCGTGGAAACCGGGCAGGATCCGTCCCGCAGCCCGGGGACTGCAGCATCCCCCTGCCCGGCAGCAGCATCCCTGGATGGGCAAGACCCCCAGACCCCAGCCCCAGCTCCCTCGGACTCACCTGCCAATAGCTCCCGGCTCCTGCGTGCCGTCCTCTGACCGACCCTGGGCTTTTATAGCTGTGCCCGGCCCAGGGAGGGGCCAGACAGCCTCAGCTGAGTGCCACCCCCGCCAGGTAGGGCACAGGTGAGGAAGAGGAAGGTGAAGCCAAAGCCGCACAGGGCCCTGGCACCGCAAGGATGGGGATGGGGACAGGGATTGGGAGGGCTTTCTGTGGGTTCGGGCATCCTGGGGGAGCAGGGGTGGGGCTGTGCTCCCCTGCTAGCCACCATCGTGGCTTCCCCTCCCACTGCATTGCCACCCCTGGGTGCCACCACCGGCACACAGCTTGGCCCCACCACAGCCCTTATGCCCCAGCCCAGGCCACCACGGCTCGGTGCCCCAGTTTGGGGACCAAGGGCACTGCCGGGGGGGGGAAGCGGGGGGCCCCACCGTGAGCAGCCCCACGTGGGCGAGCGGCTTCTGCTCACACCTTGCTGCCCGGGCGCGTGGGGCTGACGCAGCCGTGACCGGGACACCATGTCCCACACCCTTCCAGCCATCACCGGTGGCCCCGGGGCACGGGCCAGGCGTGACAGCCCCGTGGGAGTCCCGCGCCACAGGTGGAAAAATTGAGTGAGCACGGAGCTCGCCTGAGTCAGGGCACGGGGTGGACCCGGGCGTCCCACTGCCATGGGACATCGCCGCATCACCCTGGGATCCAGCCTTCCAGCACCCACCTGCAACATCCCGCTGCCAGCACCGGAGATGCCACGGGCCACCATGTCCCCAGGAGCCGGGGAGTGTGGTCCTGCGGGCACCCAGCTGGGCCCGGAGCCAGTGGCACCAGCCCAGGACCTCGCCGGCGCGGAGCCAGCCGAGCAGCAGCCGGGCACGTCCCAGCTCCCTGCGCCTCCGCTCCTGCGTGCCAGGCCAGGAGGAAGCATTTTATTTACTGGTGTTATTTTTAGCCTGACGGTGCCCAGCTGCCTCAGCCAGCCCAGGACGAGAGCGGCTCGACCGCTGATAAACATGGCCAGGAGCAGGGAGATGTCCTACAGCAGCCAGAGGAGGATGGTTCCCGGGGGGGTCTGTGCCTGCCCCAAAACCCTCATCCCCACCGAACCGGAGCTGGAAGGACCTGCACCCCATCTGCACTTGTGGGTGCTGCAGGGGCTGCGTGCCCAGGGCTCCGAGGGCACCGGGCTCCCCCCAGCCTCGTGCCAGCCCTGGCTTATCTCCAGCCAGAAGCCACGGCACCGCCTGGCACTGGTTAATAATTAAATCAAAAAGCTTCGCAGGAAGAGAAACCCAAGCTCGCCTTGAGTTTCCGCCTAGAAGTGGTTGCAGCGAAGGGCAGAGCGTGATGCTGGTGCCCCAGCAGCTCCCTGTTCTGCTTAATTGAGTAGCAATTAAGGGTAGTACTAATATCTGCACAGCGTGGCCCTGACCCCCCATGACCCTGTGCAAGCGTTGGTGTTCCCAAATGGGGTGCTGGAGGGCCCAGCCCAGAGCCCCACGGCCGCTGTTCCCTCCAGCGCCTTCCCCAGCCTCCCCAGACCCCCCATTAAACGCAAACTTTGCTCCCAACAAACCCACTCAGGAGCCGGGACTCGACACGTGTTATCGATCACAGCCGCGTTATCGATCGTGGCAAATGGAGCAAAGGCCGTTTGCGGAGGAGCCGGGTGCTGGCACACAGCGGTGCCCAAGCAGTGCCTACGCCATGAGCCACGCAACGTTCGCCAGCCGCCACTGGAAATGTCGGAGCTGCAGCAGCAAAGACCAGAAGCAGGGGACTCGCCCGCCGACCAGGCGCGGTGGGGGATCACTAAGAAAGGCACTGAAAAAAAAAAACCCAAGAGGCTTTTCAGGTCCACGGTGATCTGACCTGCAAATGCCGGCTGCTGGATGTGCCATGTCGCACGTTGCAATGTCCAGCCTCCAGAGAGGACCGAAATAAATACATAGAGAGGTATCGATATGCTTCTCCAGAGCTGGAGGGACCCTGGGAGCACGTGTTCGTCTGCCCTTCGTGCTCCCAGTCCAGGCTGAGTCACAGCCGCAACGGCGAGAGGCTGTGGGAGCAATGCTTGATAGGTTATGGTAAGGCAATTAATTATGCAAATTCCACTAGGCCACCGTCACCTTCCCGCAGAGCCCAGCGAGCCCCAGGCGTCCCTCTGTGCTCCCAGGGCCAAGCATCCAAGCCTCACCCCAAAGCAAGCCAGCACAGCCAGAGGCCGGCCCTTCCTGCTGCCACAGCACCCCAACAAGCCCAGCACAGCACCCTGGCACAGCACCCACAGCACCCCGAGAGCCTGGCACAGCACCCACTGCGCCCCGTGAGCCCGGCACGGCACCCGCTGTGCTGAGCAACAGACAGGCGAGGGAAAAACCTCCAAGACACAGGGTTGAGAAAAGCCAGCATAAAGCGTTTTTATTGCAATAATAAAACTTGATACCTTTATGCGGTGGAGAAGGAAGTGAACGGCGGCAATTTCTCTTACCAAATCACTAGGCAGGGCGGAGGGAGGGAGGGGGCAGATAGGACAGCAGCGGGGGAAGCTACGCATCGTATGAGACCAGACAAGCGGCGATGACCAGCATCAGGTGTCAGGAGAGAACGGTCAGGTGTGCTCAGACCGGAGACAACTGGGGTCTGATGTTTCCTTTCCAGGAGGGAGAGAGGGGACAGGGGCGTTTTCTTTGGGCTGACTCCCCACCAGCCCCGCCACCTCCCCTGTAGACAGCACCTTCCGTTTGTCTGCTCTTTTCCTTTTTCTTTAAAGAAAGCTCAATGTAAGCTACTGAATTTTCAGGGTGTGGTGGAGCTCTGATGGACCCGTCTCCACATAAAATCCAAAAGCGGGATGGGGGGGGGGGGGGGGAGGGTGGGGAAGGAAGGTCCACCGTGAGATGGCAGAGTGAAGCAGGGGCAGAGCAGCCCCCCCTTCCCGGGAGCAAACCCACGGTGCCCGCAGTGATGCTGCGCCCTCCCCGGGGAGCAGGGAAAAGACACGCTGCTCCCTCGCTGCCCTGGTTCCAGGCAGGGTACCTACACACAATCCTAGCGCTACTTTGCTCTCCGCATCCATTCAGCCTCGACAGCCTCACTCTGCTATGGCTTTTGCAGCAGCAGCAATTTCTGGTTTGAAAACACCATAGAGATCTGCACCAAAACAAGTAACTAACGGGTTTCCTTTTGTTCAAATGACTCCTATCTAAGGTCAGCCCATCTGCGTGCTACTGGTAAAACGTAGTCTACACCTGGAACAAAAATAAGATTAAGAACTTGACCCAAAAAGAGTTGAGGTTTACGGCGTATAGTTTAAAAAGACATAAAAACACAATACAAGGAGGAAGAGTCAGACGCAAAGCTTAGTGACCAAAGGCATTCAATCAAGGTGTAAGGTTATACAATGAGTGTAGTGGACTATCAGGAAAAGCTCCGTACAAAGTCATGTGCACTCTTCTTGAAGCTGAGATTCTGGATTCCTCCATGTGCCAAACCTGCTGGGAGAGAGGAGAGGCAGCGTGACAAAGCCGCCCGCCCGCCCGCCGCCTGCAGAGGAAACCCGACAGAGGAGGGAGCGCGCTCACCAAACGGCCACCTCATCGCCAACCGCACGGTTCGCTCAGAGCAGAAGTCAAGCCCCGATTACAGAGGGGAAGCACAGCCCCATCCTGCCTGCACCGCAGGGCCCACAGACCCCAGAGCACAGCCCCATCCTGCCTGCACTGCCAGACCCATGCACCGGCTGCAAGAGAGGCATGAAGGGGGAGCAGGCAGCCAAGCCCCGCAGTGCAGCAACGCAACGCAAGGAACCCGAGGCACGGTCAGCCGTCACCGCAATGCCTCCATGGCATGAACCCTCTCTGCCAGGCTGGGTACTCTGCTTGCACCACCGTGGTGATCCCCAGCTCACCAGCCTCCCGAGAGCGACTTCTACCCACAGCCAGAAACCTGCCCTATCCTTCTCATACCCCCCACTGCCATCACCTCCATCCCACCTCCCCACGCTAGCCTGAGACAAAAGATGAGGGCCTTGAGTCGCCCCCAAGCCACAACACTCCCCGCCGGCAGCTGCCCCTCCTTACCCAAGGACAGGGTGCTGGGACAGATCATTCCAATTTCATGAGCTCCACGTCAAAAATTAGAGTGGCGTTTGGTGGGATGATCCCTGGGTGGCCAGTAGAGCCATAGGCGTAATCTGGGGAGATGGTCATCTTTGCCCGCTGACCAACGCTCATCTGGGGGCAGGGAAAGAAACACAGGGATGTCAGGAGATGGGCACAATCACCGGGTGAGTGACAGCAAGAGGGACACAGACATGTCCCCACTCCTTTCCCTACACTGAGCAAGAGCAAGGACCCAGGCTGGATAAACCGGAGGGGACAGAAGAGGAATGGGAAGAACATCAGAAGAGAAAGGCAGGCAGCACGGGCTGGAAAAGAAGCAGGGCTTGAGATGTCCTTCACACAAGCGAAGGCAGGGAATGCCACGCCATTCCCTACAGCCACCGGCACCCTTGTGCCGCGCTGCCTCGCGTCCCCAGCGGCACATGGAGCTGGCCGCAGTCATGCACGCAGGAGCTGAAGCTGTGCTGTGCCCACCAGCCCTCCCTCCGCGTGGGCTTTGCAGCCCGGGAGCCATCTCCGCTCGGAGCAGGAGGCTTGAGCGCTCCCCGCCACGTTCGTTCAGAGCTGACTCAGTAGAGAAATGTCACCGCTGAGTCACCAACGTGCTGTAGGTGTTCCTGGGGCCCGGCCCTGCTCCATTCCTGCCATCTGGCAGGTGGCAATGCAGAAGGTGATATTCACACCCACACCTCCCAGCGCTGTGGGGGCGGAGGGGTGGAAAACACAGGGGAATAAAATAAAAAAAATAAAATAAGAGAACAAGCTGCACACAGTGATTTCTGCCCACGCTGCAGCTCCCCAGGCGCACAGCTCTGCACAGCCCTGCAAGGGAGACCGCGAGGCGGAGAAGCACCGGGCACCTGAGCGACTCCTTCCTCCCAGCCGCGGATCACCTCCTGCTTGCCCATCACGAACTTGAACGGCTTGTTCCTGTCGCGGGAGGAATCAAACTTCTTCCCATCCTCCAGCATACCTGGGGAGAGAGGGAGGGAGATGATGGTGACACAGTGACAGCGCCACACACACCTGCGTGAAACAGGCTGTGACCTGGCAGCCTGAGCGGGTGACAGTCACCCCTGGGAAAGCTCACATGGCCCTGAGTCAGAGATGTTTCTCAGCTCAGCCTCCTTTCCCCTGGGGAAACACCTGCACGGGGCGGCCTGGAGGGGAAAAACCCCCGCCAGCACCCCCCAGGGCATCATCCAGCCTGGCAGGAGCAGCCCTGGGGCAGGGCAGGATTGTTCCTGCTCCTGGCTGCTTCGACCCAGAGAGAAGAGCTCCTCTGGGCCGGGACCGAGGACAGACGAGGAGAGCAGATGGAGGGCTGGGGGGGAGAACCTTCCCCACCTCACAGCACCGCTGCCAGCCGTTTTGCAGGCAGCAGGATCAGGCATGGCGCTTCCCATCCCACCAGCAACACACCTCCCACTCCTCACCACAGGCAGGCTTCCATCCTTGGGCACCCAAAACAGACTTAGGGCTCCGGTGCCCCATCTCGGCTGCTGCCGGCCTCCAGCCCCTCCCCGTGTCCAGCTGCATCCTGCTGGTCTTCAGCCAAATCACTCCTGTACCCAGGAATGACGACGGGGAGAGGCAGCACCAAGCACTGAACACACATGCCCAGGGCAGCCCCCGTTCCCCCGGCACAGGCTGCATGGTGAGGGCTGAGCGAGGCTGATATCCCCAGGACTAAATATAACTCCCCAACACGAGCAAAGGAGGAATTTCCTCCCCTCCCTTGCTCCCTGCCTGACCTTCTTGGGGAATCTCAGAGCTGGAGCTGCCTTATACGAGCAGCAACTCTGCTGGCCCGTGGAGTTGCTGCTCCTATAAGGCAGCTCCGGCTCCACATTAACAGAGCCAGCACCACATGCGATAAAAATGATAATAAACTCTCCTGCAAATGCTCCTCACTTCACTGCCCAAAAACCTGTTTTCTTGGCTGGAAACAGCTCTATAGTCTTGCAAAACCAAACTTGTCCAGCAACGCATGGGGTAGAGTGATTTCCCTTCACCAGGGCACTGCCCACGGGCAAGAGAAAATGCATCTGTGCAAAAGATGAGTCAGGGCATCTCAGCCCCGGTTCGGAACGTGACGGCAGCCACAGCGAACGGCACGCAGACACGGGCAGTCGTGGTGACAGGAGGCACTGAACAGAAAGAAAGGAATGGGAAAAACTACATCACCTTTGCAGGGGCAACGAGCACCGAAACCTCTGGGCTGCAGGAAGATGCAGGGGGTAGGGGCCAGCAGCCCCACGTTTCAGTCAGGGAGTGGAATTAAGCTTTTAATTTCACAGAAAGGAAAAATCCCCCCTCCAGGGCTCTGAGCATCAGCACCAGCTCAGCTGGTCAGGCCGCAGCCCTGGACTTTGGAATAGTAAATCTGGAGTTTTCTTGTTTCCTCCTTCCAGGATAAACCTCTTGTTGCCGAACCTGCTTCCAGCCCTGTCTGGCACTGCTCCCTGCTCCTGTCCGCTGGCCTTCCTCCCGCCCGGCGGGGACGCTGGCAGCAGGGACACGGGGCAGGCCATGCCGGCTGGCACAGGCAGCGCCGCTTGGCCGCGACACGAGCTGACCCTGAGCTCAGCTCTGAGCCCTCGGGCATCACAACGAGCCGGGGTGGCTGCAGAAGGACAGAGGGGACAGCTCGTGCCTGCCACCCTTCTCCCTGGGCACCCGCAGAGGAAAAAAAACCAGGGGCCACGCAGCACAACCCCCCTGGCTTGTCACGGCAAACAGGGACCTGTGGAATACTTGCGGGGCACCCGCTGCCTGCAGAAGTGCATCCCGTTCAATGCCCCGGCCAGGGGAACATAAAGGCACCATCAGCGGCACAAGAGACGCTGCAGACCTCACGAAGGAGCAGACGGCACTGCCCGCCCCTGAGCTCACCTGTCCGAATCCAGTCTTGGGGAAGCGTTTCGGAGCGGGCAGCACCCTGGCTGCAGGAGAGAGGGATTAACGGACTAAGCTGGTTGCAGGGGGATCAATCACTCGGGCTGCCCCCGGCCCAGGAAGGTGCAGGTCGCACACGGGAGCTCATCCCTGCTCCCTGGCACGGGGCTGCCACGCTCCCCCCACCACACCAGCGGGGAAAACAAAGAGGCTCTGATGCTTCGGAGACAGCATCTTCATCTCAGGCACTTCCGCTGCCCGCAAGGCTCCCAGGAGATTTCTCCAGCCCTGGACAAGTATGAGCAACCATTTCGTCATCCCTGCCATCCCCGAGCAAGGAGATAACAAGATCTTAAAGCTATTACAGAGGCAAAGCATCCCCTGGCAGGAGCAGTTGCCCCACCAGAGCCCCAGGAGCAGCAGCCAGCCCCCGGCACACCCTGGCTCGCCGCAGCCCCCGGCAGGGCTCCTTGCTTGCCACCACCAGTCCCGCGAGGAGGGCAGAGCCCACGGAGGTGGGTTACAGAGACCCACCTGCCCCAGCTCCCACACAGAAAGATTTGACCCTCCTGGAGATCTCAGCTGGACATCGGGGGTGGGGGGGTCTCAGGGGAACCACAGCGAGGAAGAGCACGAAGCTCTGTGGCCGGGGCTGCAGCAGTCGTGGGACGGAGCAGGGGGCTCTGGAGAGCAGCCCCAGCTCCGGACGGGCAGGCAGCACGGCCTTGCCAGGTCTCTGCCACACTTGGCAGGCAGCAGCCGGGAGACGCCGGCTGCAACGTGCGACTTGGCTCCGGTCCCCCCTGGGCGGGCAGAGGCGGTGGAGAGCGGCGCTGGAGCAGGCAGGCAGAGGCAGCCTCTGAGATAAACCTGCAGGTTTAGGTTTTGCCGGGGGGGGGGGGGGGAAGAGCCCCACCCACACCCCCTCCATCCCCTCTGGCCTGGGGTACCAATCCTCGGCACAGCCATTGCCCAGGGGCTCCTGCACGGAGCCGGCTTCCCGAGGAGAGGTAGGGAAAGACCGGAGCAGTGGGGTAGGCACCTCTGCTCCAGCCGGAGGAAGGGACAGAATGGGAAACCCTTCCCGAAAGCCCTGGGATACCCGGCATGCTCCAAGCCCCTGCGTCAGGACAGGGCTGCCCAGCTGAGGACAAATCCTGCCTCCACCAGCAACCTCTGCCAGACGCTTTAGAACGCAGGGCCCGAGCTGCCTGCACCAGCGCTTCCCATCACTCAGCCTACCCCCGTCGCCACCCGCAGCTGGATGCGGGAGGGGGCTCTGCCCACCGTTTGCCGTGGCCTGGCAGGAGAGAGGACCCCCAGTGCAGGCAGGGAAGGGGTGCTTCAGCAGAAGGCGCTGAGCTCCTACAACCCACCGATGGGCAGTTGCACGCCTCAGTAGGAAACGTCTTGCAACTGCAGAGCGTTTGCTGCTGCTGTGTGAGCGTGGCAGCACCCAGACGCAGCAGGGAGAGCACCACCGCGCCAGGTGCCGTGCAGACAACAGGAACGAGCTGATAGCCGAGGCTGCGCCCAGCCTGTGCAGCAATGCACGGGTGCTGGGGAAGGACGGCGGTCCCCTCTGCGCTATCCCGCCGGAGAAAGCCAGTTTTCTCTAGTATTCCTCCCCGCATTTCCGCCCCTTGCTCCAAACCCACCTCCCTCCGAGACACAACAAGCTGGGCATGCTTTGCCACTCGGGCAAAGCCGTTTCACCAAGCCAAGTCAGACTCGCTCCCGTCCCGGCGCTCCCCAGCACGACCATGGGCCCCCATTTCCCCTCCAAAAGCACGGTGGGGTGGCTGCGGTCTCCCCACACTCTCCGCAGCCCCCGTGCACTCAGACGGCAGCTCCCCCTTGCACCAGCTCTCTTCACTCCCCAGCCCGCTCCTGGGGAACACAATACTCAGCCCCAGCACCACTCTGGGGCACCACGGGAGCCCCAACTGCATCAGTACAGCATCCCACTCTGCCCTGGCTCCCGCCGCAGCAGCCAGACCCAGGGGGGCTCAGGTCTGCTGGCCCCCAACCTGCACCCCTCCTCCCCATCGACTTGCTCCTAGGCAACCCTCCCTCCCCACACCAGTTGCTGCAAGCAGTCCCGAACACATCGGGGAACTTTATCCTTGATTTAGTTTCTTTAAGAGCCCTTTGTAGCAGATTTCACGTCAAAGGCTGTTTCGGACGCCCCGCCGCGCGAGCTCTCCAGCAGCGCTCCCCCTGCTCCCCATGGGCTGCAGGAACAACCTCCCGCAAAGAGCGGGGACCCGGGACCGAAGGAGGGAGAAGGGTCCAATTCCCCCAGCTCCCCCCACACGCCTCCACCTCCGCAATCCCAGCGCGAGCAACCGGCATCTCCCAAGCAGGCGGCCTGGAGGATGCTCTGCTCTCTGCCTCCTTCCCCAGCGCTGCCCTCCCGCACCAGGGCCGTCTGTCCGGCCCGACCCTCGCCCCTGGGATGAAATGGCTGCTCTTGGGGGGGCCAGGCCCCACGGAGCAGGGGCTTGGGCACAGACAGAAGAAGCGGCAGCCACGGCACGGCTGACCAAGCTGGCTCCCCACGCTCCCTCATCCTTGGGTCACCGGGTTTTTTTTCCAAAGTGGTTTTTAACCGAATCACTGCGCATCCGTAACCCAGCGCAGGGAGAGCTGACTCGCCACATACCCATCGCAGCACACCACGGGTTGGATCTCCCCAGCGCCAGCAGGTTTCTGCACGGGTGCAAAGGGCAGCTGGGGACGGAGCTGACACAGGGCTCTGGAAGGAGCCTCAGAGCACGGCACCTCCCGCACCGCGCTCTGCCGCCATCCTCGATGCTGCTCCGGGATCGGCAAGCGCCGTAACGGGGCCGGGGAATCAAACGTTTTTAACGTTTGCTGAGACCCAAGCCCCGCTCTGGCCTCTCTCGCAGGGCAGGCTGCAGGGAGCCACACTGCCGACGCAGGCAGCTTTCAGCAACGAAAACGGCATCAGGGCCTGAAGGTGTTTGATTTCTGCTGCCTGCCGAGGCGGGGGGGGGCAGAAGCTGCCTGCAGAGGGAACTGGGGCGATAAAGGACAAAAGGAGACAATAATAACAAACAAACAAAAAAAAGGAAATTAGAGAACCGCTCCCACGCGCAGCGGATCGCTGCTGCTGGGGAGGGTCCGTCAGGAGCAAGACACCGCACAGCACTTTGCCCGAAGCACCGGGATGTGGGGATGGGAAGCTGGTGACCCGCGAGCAGCTCTGCCGGGGCTGGGGCCGGAGCCGGGAAGAGCGGCAGAGCTCCGGCAGCACCGCGGGAGGGGAGAGACGGCGCCGGGAGCCGGGAGGGAGGGCTGAGGGCTGGCCCACCGGGAGCCTGCCTGCCAGCCTCCCTTTGTTCACCGGCGGAGGAAACAGGGCGGCCGGGGGAGACCGAGCCGCTTCCTCTCCCTCCTGATGAGGGAATGGGAAGGACGGGGGAGACAGAGGAGCAGCAGATGGGCTGGATGCCCGCCGAGCCCTCCCGGCAGCCCGGGCTGCCCGGGCCCCGCTCCGCAGAGAGGGGCACCCTCGGCCCCCCACTGTGGGCAAGGAGAGGGCGGAAAGTGCTGGGGCGGGAAGAAGAATTGGTTATTAGCAGAAAGAGCCACAAATGGGTCAACTCGTTTTTACCCTGGAGCACAGCAGCCACCCCGATGAGCCGGAGCTGTTCGAAAGGCGACCGAGGGGGAGAGGAGACCCCCCCAGGGCAACCCCCAAAGCATTTTTCGGAGTCCCCAGGTTGGTTTCTTTCCCCCGCAAGCTCACAGAAGGCTGCTGGAGGACACCGTGCAGAGTATGACCCTCTCTGGCTGTCAGGGCAGCCCCTCATCGAAATACTACGCCCAAACCCCAAACAGCACCCCAAACAGCACCCTGCGTTACCCAAACCGGGGTCCCCCCGTGGGACCTGTGCCCCACACTGCCCGGCCTTAAAAACGTCCCAGGGTGGGCTGCAGGTCTGGGTCTGCCCCATGGGCACCCCTGGTGTCACCCCCACGAGGGAGAAGGGGCTGGGGCAGCAGGGACGGCACCAGGGGTGCAGGGACCCTGCTCCAACACAGCGAACCCCGAAGCTCCCGGGGGGCTGACTCGCTACCAGCCGGGGGGACACCGGTGTCCCGTGGGAGCACCCAGCGTGGGGGCTGTCGGCTC